AAGAGAAAAGAAAAGAAAGAACAAGAGAAAGTCATAGAAAGAAGAAGTTAATAAAAGAAGAAGTTTCACAAGAAAAAAATTAAAAGAGCTGTTAAAGTTGAACCTACCTAAATGAACTTTGCTTTATTATAAATACAATTTAATAAAACAATAATTTACACAGTTCAAAATGATATAAAAACAAGTAATTACTAGTATCTACTAAAGTACCTCCTTGAATTTAATATTTACCAAATTTTAATTGAAATTTTTTAATTTGAATATCTCTGAATTTCTTTACAATTATTACTTTATGAGTCAATAATTATTCCTATATCACTTCTACAATGAGTCAAATATTGTGTTTTATTCTTTTAAAATGAAACATATGGGTATGTACTTAGTTCTGTTACTTTATAAAAAGTCATAAAAACAAGAAATATTTAAAATGATTATTAATTAGTTTAATAAAGCGGTTTTTTCATTTCCCTCTTCGCTATCATTTTGGGTACTATGAATGATTGGGGTTTCTTCTGAAACTTCTGGAGAGATAATATCCATATATTTTTTGTAGTTGTCAAATTGGATAGTATATTTTTTAGGGAACCAATTTAACTCTCCGAGTAAATTAACGATAGCAGGAAGAAGAATTGAACGAATAACAAAAGTATCTAGTAACACACTAAACATTAAGATAAATGCAAATTGGTTCAACATCAAAATAGCACTTAAGAATAGTCCCGAGAAAGCTATTGCCATAATAATACCTGCATAAGAAATTAAATATCCAGCCTTCTCTACACCGATGATAACGCTTAAATGAGTTGACAATCCTTTTCTTCTTAATTCCATAATTCTTGAAAACAAAAAGATATCATAGTCAGAAGATAATCCAATAATAATAGGGAAAGTAATTACAGGAACACACCAGTACAAACCAATTGACTCTTTCATTATTTGTGATGTCCAATCAAAATAGTCATTACAAAATACAAATGATGCAAATCCATAAATCCATAACACAGTAGTAATAGTTGAAAATACAATTCTTAGTGGAGCGATAAATGATTGGAATGAAATAGCTGTAACAATCACTAAAAGAACAAACAATACAATGATAATAATTGGGAAATATTTAAAACAAATTACAATAGAATCTGAAATATCAACTTCAAAACCTCTAACATAGATTTGAAATTGTGGATATTTAGAAGTAACATTTGAAATAATGTCTCTTACAATTTTTAGTTTTTGGTCTGAATATTCTTTAGGATTAAACAATGGAATGAAAGAACAACGTGTTGTTGTATTATCTGGTGAAACTACAGAATTGAATAACCAGTGATATAGAGGATCATTTAATACTAATTTCATAATTTTAGCATTAAGCATATGACCTCCAAAGTAATTAATACAATAGTATGATGTTTTATCAAAGTCTTCTGGTTTTTCTAAGAATTTTTCCATTAATTCTTTTGTTACATTATAATAAGCAGTACTAAATACGTTATACTGTGTTTCATTTCCACTAATAACAAGTTCATATGGATAAATAATTCCATCTGGATATTCATTGAGGATGTAAGACCTTGATATCATTGAATCTGATTTTGCGGGAATAATTTGATTATCTTCTTCATTCCAACTAAAATCTTTAATAAAAACACATAATGGTGCAATACAAACTAATGCAATAAGAATACTAACAAAAGATATTTTCTTATTTGATAAAAAGACAGCAAATTTATGCCACAATGAATCTTTACTATGATAACTTTTTTCTTTTTTTTCTGCCCATACTCTACAACGTTTTATACATGGAATAAATCCTCTTTTAGAAAAGAAATTTGGGAATATACCTAAAAGAGATGGTGTTAAAGTTAGATTGACAATAATAGTAATAAATATGGAAATAGCTGCACCCATTCCTAAAGTAATAATAACGTCTAATGGAAAGAAACATAATGATACAAAACAAAGTGTTAATAATCCTCCTGATGTAAAAATAATTCTTCCTGCATGTTGTAAAGTATTTTTTATAACATCATAATAACTTTGTTCAATTGATAATTCTTCTGAAAAACGAGTTAGTAAGAATAAAGAATAATCAATAGACATTGCTGCGATACATGACATCATTAAGGCAGGAGCAACACCATAAATATCAATAGCAAAAGTAATAGGATACATGATTCCAAATGCCACAACAAATGAAGTTATAATTGTACATAATGGAATAATCATTAATGACAATGATTTAAGTACCCAAAGTAATACTAAAATAGCAATTGGAATACATGAAATATCCATTTTCATTAGTGACACCATAATTTCTTCTTGTAAATCAACACTTCCAGGTTCAAATCCAGTTACTCCAACATAATATTTATCTGTTTCATTGTTTAATCGTTTAATTTCTTTTCTTAATGCTTTCACAAATTTTGGAATAGCTGTACCATCTCTATCATCAATGGTAACAATAATTGTGGTAACATCTCCTGACTTCCCGACAAATTGTTTTTTAATTATTTCTAATGCAGTTTGGTCAATTATAGTTGCATTAGAAGAATTAGGAAGAAGATAATATCCTTCAGCAGAAAGAATGATTGGTTGTTCTTGCATCCAACTGTTTAGTTGATGTGAAAATGATTCAGTGTAAGGTGTAAGAACAGAAGAATTATCAGTTGTTTTAATAGCTACAATATTTTGACCTTCTTTAAACACATCAGGATATTTCTCATTAACCAACTGATTTGCACTATATGCTAATGTCCCTTTTGGAGGTTCAATAAACAATGATGTAGCTCCAAGAAATTTTAATGCTGGATAAGCAAATCCAATAACGGCAAGAATCCAAAATATTACAATTACAAATCTTAATTTGTGTATATATCTAAAAAGAAAATTAAATATTTTATCACCCCTTCTTTCTTCTCTTTTTACTTCAACATGTCTTGAATCATTTGATTGTGCTTGTTGTGTTTCTTCCATTATTTATTTATCTATTTTCTTTTAGACGTGTAGGGTTTTATCCAACTTAGAAAAACAAGTGATTTTGGTGGTTATAAAATGAACTTCTATCTCCCTATTTTACTTTTTCCATAAAACTGTTTCTTGATTAACTTTGATTTTTGTTTTTTTTTAATTTTTTGTTTCTAAAGAACCTCAACACTATACCCACATGTTTAAACATATGAAAAAATAACTCCACACAACCTCTCTTATTTTTTAAGCAATGATTCAAAAATGAGTAACACAATTTATTAAGAAAAATAAACAAAGAAGAATCAATGAGAGGTTAAAAGAAAATAAAATAAATTAAAGGTATTTATATAGATAATGAAATATTTAGTTTAACTCTATAACCATTCTTACAAGAGAGATAAAACACTTATTAACTTTAGTTTGTTTAAAGTTCTTGATAATTTAATATTTTGGAATTTTCTTTTATGATATTTATTTTTTTGATAATGTTATGGGTTAGTTAGAACCTTAAAAAGAAGAGCTGGGTTTAGAAGAATTAATGATAATGAATAAGTTTATTCTAACCAAATTAGTTTTAATATGAAAGACTAAAAATTAAATTCTCAATCAGTTTCATTTATAATAAAAATCTGATAACATCATTTGTTTATCATAAAAATAACAAATAATAATAGAATTATAAATCTAAAGAATGACTCAAAAAATATACTTATTTATAAAGTATTTTTATTTTTATAAGAGAGTTACAGAATATTTTGTAATTACCAAAGTGCTAAAAACAAGGGTGATTTTTTTACAAATACTTCAACATAGTATAAACAAATGTTAATTAACACGACTATAATATAATTAAACAATAAAAATCAAGAAATAGTTGACGTTGTTATATTTGTTTAAGAGTTTACATCAAAAACAAATAATAGTGTGTTCTGGAAAAGATTAATCAATTTCATTAGTAAAGATAAAAATAAGATAGTAAAAACATTTAAACCAAATATATAAACAACCAGCAAAACAACTTATGAATATATTTTGATTACCAGAATAATATATAACAATCTATATTATCATTTTTAAAACATAATATTCTTAAATAAAACAAAATTGAATCTAAAAGTATAATGTTTCAAAAGGAATAAATTTTTTAAGACTTTAACAATCAAAGAAAAATATCCATTCCAAAAATAATAATATTTAAATTTTTTGAAGAGTCAAAGAATAATTATTTACAATCCCTTCAAATAAAAATTATTAAAATTTATTTCACTTTTATTTTTATTTGGTATATACCATTCTATACTATTAAATATAAATAGTTCAATTAATCCCTTTTATCAATATTATATAAATACCAATTTAAACTATAATCTTTCATTATTTTCTATATTGTTTTATTTTTGAATAAGAACCAATTCAATCTGTTTTAAATGAACAAAATCAATAAATATATTAACAATTTAAAGTTTATTATAATAAGATCATATTTCACATATTGATAATAAAATGTAACTATTTCTATGCGTCAAAATTTAATATATATATACTATTTAAATAATATGTATAAACCCAGTAACTAATCATAAATAATTCAAAATTCAATAATGTTATAAAGTTAATGAAATATATATTCTTTATTCAATTTATATTATTAAACTAAAATTACAGATTTAAATATTATAAAAAATGATCTTTCTTCCTCTTGAAATTAAATAATTATAGAACAGACTTTGTCAGTTATTATATTTTGTTAGTATCTTTATTTTAATATTTAATAAGTAGTTAAATAAACAAATATTCTCATTCTAACTGGTAATATATCTAATTTCCATTACAAAGATTATTTTAATTTTTACTATTTAGTATATTTTGATCATACTTATTTGTTGACTTATTTCAATAATTCTTTTCTTGTTTATATCATTCTTGTTTATTCCATGTCAACAATGCTAATCTTATTGAATTTAATTTATAAAACTAACTCTTTCATAGAATAATACAGTGAACCTTTCATTATAAATAAAATCTATTCTGATAATTTTATTGTACAACGTTTGTTACAACTTTGTTTCTTTTTTATATAATTATTCACTTTATTCTATCTAAAAGTCACTTTAAGAATATATAAAATCAATTATTCAACACACAACCATTTCAAATAAAAAACATTATTTTAAAGAATATTTTTAATCATAGAAAGTAGTACTAAATTAAATTCGATAGAGATATCTAGTCTTTAAAAAGTTCTCAACTCTATTTTGTTGATGAAGTGAAAAAATAATAGAAACAACCATAATAATGATACAGCAACTAATCCTAGCAAAACTATAACTTATTAATTGAAAAGAATAAAGACTAATAAACAAGTTATTTTTTTCTCTCTAAAGAAAAAGCAGAATATGAAAAAAACTTTAGACAATTTAAATCTATTTGCTTAATTGATTTTTGTATTACTCCATTAATAATGTCCCTATAAATATTAATAAATTACTTTCAAGTCTATACTCAATCAAAAACAATAACCTTTTCTCTAACTAAAGAATCTAAATGAATAAAGAATAAAATACGTCTGATAATTAAGACTAATAAATGAAAAACTCAATTTATAAATTTTGAGATTAAAAAGAAAAAATCTGAAACTAAAAGAGAAAAAGGGCAAACTGAAATAAACATTAAAACGTGAAAAATGCAAAGACAAACAGAGTCTTTAGTCTATGCACCATCATCAAAACGAGGAACTGAAAAAATGAGTGAAACTAATATCCTTCAACCAAATATTCAATCAAATATTAGAGACATTGACTCATTTGATTGTGATGACCCTTTTTTCATGACAACGTACGCAAAAGATATATTCAAATATTTAAAAGAAGAAGAAGAGTTAACGATAATCCCAACTGGTTTTATGACAGGTCAATTATATATTACACCAAAAATGAGACAAAAATTAGTTGATTGGATTGCTGAAATCTCTACCGTATTAACACTGTTATCTGAAACATATCTATTAACAATATATATTATTGATAAATACCTTTCATTAAATAAAACTGTTGAACGGTTTGTTCTTTCATTAGTTAATATTTTTTTTATCTTATTTGACTTATCTTTTATTAGAAATAATTTCCAATTGGTTGGAGTTGCTGCTGTTTTGATTGCTTCAAAGTTTGAAGAGTATTCATATGTTATTGTAAGTGATTTGGTTACATTAACAGGAGATGCATATACTGCTGATATGATTAAAAATATGGAATGTCAAATTTTAAATACCCTGAACTTCCAAATCATTAGACCAACTCCTTTAGACTTTCTTCGTCGTTTTTCAAGAGCAGCTGATAACACAGAAAAACCACACATCACTGCTCGTTATTTGATTGAGTTAGCAACATTAGATTATCAATTAATGGAAAAAAAAGTAAGTCTACTTGCTGCTGCATCAGTGTATCTTGGAAGAAAAATGTGTGAAACAACCCCTTTTTGGGACGAAACAATGGCTTTTTATTCTGGATATTCTGAACAAGACCTTCTTGGTACAGCAAGATGTCTTAACATTTTACATAAATTTACAGTATGTTCTAAGAGTAGTAATTATTTAAAAATAAAAGAGAAATTTGAAGATGAACAACATAAATTTGTTTCTCTTCTTCCTCCTTGTGCTGATTTTTAAATTACTTTTTTGTTATATTTTGTTGTTTTATATAACTAAATATTTCATTGATTAAAAAGAATGAATTCTTGTTATTTTTTAAAGAAACTAAATTTTTATAATTAAAAAATAATAAAATTATTATTATATAATAATAACAAAAAATAAAACTAAAAAATCATTTTCATAATGTCACAGACTGAATGGTCTTTAGATATCTCCGATTCAAACCAAATATCATTCGATGGACCTTCAGCCATCCATAAGTCTATTTATTCAATTCCATATTCAGAACCTTCAAACTCATTTGTTTGCATATGTTGTAATACACTTTTCTTTGCAGAAAAGAATATACTGCGATATTGTTCATTTGGAAGTGATAAAATTGAACGTATTGAATTAACTAAACCAATAATTCATCTTGCCTCTCTTGATGAAGGAATTGTTGTGATTTGTGAAGATTATATTATTATTTATAATGTTAAAAGTGGATTTTTTGAGAGACGGAAGTATTCAAATTATAATAAAGTTATTGTTCATTGTAACGTTTCATCAAATGGTCAAACTATATTTTTTATGACAGACTCAGCAGTAATTAGTATGAGTTGGCCAGAAATGGAAAATCAACAACGTCTTTCATTTATAGAGACAGACACTCAATTACAAAACATTAAACAAATAGCAGGAGAAGACAAGTTAATTCTTGTTTATGGTATTTCTCTTTCAGCTTTTCTTTGTATTTTTGAAACAAAAGCTGTAATTGCAACAACAACAAAAATGTTATTAGTGAATATTACTTTTGATGATCTTGTTGTTGATTGTATTCATGCAAAAAACAGGTTATTTATTCAAACGCAAAAAGAGTTCTTAGTCTTTGAACAAAAGATTAGTTCTTTAGATAAATTAAAAAAGTTAGGTTCATGGAAAATTCCTGATAATACACAATGTAAATTAAACCCTTACGGTGCTTCTTTCTTAAATGCTAAAACCTGTGTGTTTTTTAGATGGACTTCTGATATGAAACAACCTCATATTGATAGAATTGTATTTGGAAGTAATTTTGTTAACATTATTACTGTTGTTAATAAAAATCAAATTATTTCAAAGACTTTAGGTGGGTTTTTACTAAGTGAAATCCCTGAAATTGATAAAGCAGAAATAAGAGAAACTAAAAAAGTTGAAAAGAAAAAAGTTGATGAAGAACAACCTTCTGTACCACAACAACAAGTTAAACCTCAAACCGAAACTGAAGAGTCTCAAGAAAGTTTAAAAAAAGAAATACCAAAAAATAAAGACATTGAAATATCTAGTAGTAAAATTAATACCACTAATAATGCTCCTTCTCCTGTACCTGTTGTTGTAC